ATTACATCAGCAGATACATCCCAAAAGATACCGTGAAATAAGGTCACTCCTCTTCAATCCCCACGCAAGCCTATTTCCATCACACATTTCTACAACGCTGCTTATAGGACTATACTTAGACCGGTTACGCAAGCGCACATTTCTGACTCATGCGGTTATATTACAATCACTCATGTTTTTGAAATTGAGGGGGCTTCGGATTTCAAGAGACAGGTTACTGTACTCTCAGCGATATAAATACAACTAAAAAAAAATAAAAAAAATCACGCTGGTTTATGAAACAGGGCCGTAAAAAAAAAAAACTGACTCAATACATACATGGATAAAAAAATAAATAAAAACACCTCACTCACACACACACACAGACGGGCAAGAGAGAGTGTGTGTGTGTGTGTAGGTGGAGAGCTTAATATAAAAATAATGTTTGATTGACTGTGGTGGCCTGTGTGCTGGCCTCCATTAATAACTGTATTAGTGGACAACAATAGGCCTCGTCTACGGGGAATGGAAGTTGAGAGTGAGAGAGGAGAGAGCTGAAATTAATTACTGCCTCTATCTGACTGTCACTTGCTCAGCTATTATCTCTCCGCTCTTATTCCTTTACCTCTGTGTGTGTGTGTGTGTGTGTGTGTGTGTGTGTGGACTTCCTGCTGCAATATATTACAAGTGTTGCACCATATAGTCCTATATCGTGAGCGATTACACTACATTTGAGCTGCTGCTGATGTTACGTGCGGTGAATAACGCAGGAGGATATGTCATAATGTTTGGGATTTTCACTCACACACACAGAGTCAAAGCCCAGGACCTGTGCTGCGAATAAATTACGTCGGTCTGGCAGATCCCCTCCCTGCATCACTTGTGAGACGAAGAAGCAGCAGCACTAGCAGAGAGAGGGAGGGATGCTGCTGCCAGTGTGTTCTCCCTGGTCTGCATTAAGTTCCTTTGTCAGCCAACACCGGACTAAAAATGGCTCCAGCGCAGCCAAGTTTAGCTCCACAAAGGTGAAGCTCTTCGTGGCAGCCGGTGAGTCATCTTTTATGTGGACTATCATTAGCGATCTCATAATGGAAACGCGTGTCTCCGCTGACGGCGAGCGCCAATAGGAGACCCTCTACTCTCTCTCTCTCGCGCGCAGACGTGGGCGGTTAAATTTCAAAAAGCTGCAACTAGTCTCGAGCGATTATCCAAAGGTTAATAACGCTTACATACAGTTAGACGGCGTCTCCTTGCTGACAGCACGGGTTGCTATGGCTGCAGTCGAGGGAGAAGAACTTTTAAGAAGTCGAGCTGCAGCCATGTGGCGTCGACTTTCATCTGCATGGTATCGCTTTAGCTGTTTGGTTTAATTTTGGAGAAGGAACGCCTTTAATTCTTGCCGAACGTTCCTATTGATTGGTTTCTTAACACAATAGCTGAGGCTCTGCTCAGTGTCTTCTTCTTTTCCTCCCCGCTCTTTGTGTAAATGTTTAACCCTCCTTGCCCTCCTCTCCTTCTCGCGAAAATCTCTCAAAGAAAAAGGAACAAAAGTTCAAACAAATTACACAAAGACGCCGAGCGACTGAGTGTACTCCAGCAATGTGGCTGTCAGTAAATTTCACAATAAAGGAATAATAATAATAAAAAAAAAAAAGAAACGAGGCAATGATTCTCTACTCTCTCTGACATCAGCACCATTCAAACACTGCACAGAAATTACTGACATATTGTTTACCTCCTTTGTATTCTTCCAGCTCGTGCATCGAATATGTAATTTTCTCTGCATGAACTAATGCATTGATAGTGTGTAAAGAGAAGCAAACTGACAGGCAGCCACAGAGACAGAAAGAATAATTACAAGTAGAGATGTCTCCATTATGGGTTCTTTTTTTTTGCCCTCGACACCAATCCAAATCGTTTACTGTCCAATAAACGCTGTCACTGCGTCCAATCCGACATTCAGATTCACTTCACATTTCTCCGCATTCTCGGCTCAAAGCTCAAAAAAAGATGAAAGCAGCTTAGTGTAGCTATAATAGCAAATCACATACAGTACTTTAGATGTGTCTGACAGTGGAGTCAACCACTTTGCCTGCAGCACTGTTTCTGCAGCTTCCTACCATAAGGAAGAGATGCGTCAGGATTGGACACTTCTCTTTATTCCCTTCGGACGCATAAAAATATAAGTGCAAATTCCAACCGGCTGCATCACTTCAGAGGCGTCACACAGCTGCAGCTACTGTAAAATAGATGCATGGTTTGTTTTTTTTTATGCTTTGGGCCTACAACATCTTGAATTCCTTCATTTTTCTGCTGACCTCTCACTCCTATTGCTGCACAGCTTTAATGGAGCTGCAGCTTTCATACGGGCAACCATAGTTTTTAAAGACACAGGCCTTGAGCGGCCTGATCCTGCGGGTCGAGACATCCCTACTTGCAGACACAAAGATGCACCCGCACACACACCAGCAGCACAACTTTCGCACCAGCAGACACAAAAGTCGCTCTCTTTCTCGAACACTCACTTGTGCTGGTGAGTACATGCTCCGGCTGGACTCTCTGGAGCCGTACGGTCCCTGGTGCGCCGCCGTGACGCCGTGTCGCATCCTCCTCGCCCCCTCTCCCCTCTCTCCTCGGACGCCTCCTCCTCCTCCTCTCTCCTTCCCCCCCGCCGCGCTTCCAGGCCCCGACCCGGCGGCGACCAGTCCTTTATCCGCCCCCCCACCCCCACAACCGGGGGCGCCCATGCAACAGAGGGTGCCCTGGGCCAGCTCCAGCTCAATTTCTGCATCCATCTCCGCCTCCTCTTGGGCCTCCTTGTTGGAGTCGTCCAGGTGCTTCATCAGCACGGCCACCACCACGTTGATGAGCACGAACTGGGCGGTGAGCACGAAGGAGACAAAGTACATGGGCGAGATAAACTGAAGGCTCGGATTGCAGGCATAGTCCACGTCAGTGTTCTGGTTCAGGTCTGGTGGGCATTCCCGCAATGTGTCCTGGTGAGGCGGGAGACGGGGGAAAGAAGTCAGGGACAAGGTTGGAAGGAAACGACTCAACAGGTGAAAGATAAAGCTCTGTGAAGGTACAGGATGAACTTTTGCAACAACTTCATCAAATTCAAATTCATGTCAACAAGGCTCTTTGCCTTCACGACAACTTGCATAATCGTCGCACACTCGATGGTTTTGCTTCTATGCAAAACAACAGGAGATTTTTTTTTCTCTCTCTCTCTTTTTTTTTCCTGGAAAATTATTCTGGTGGTTTTCCACTCTGGTTAACATGCGCACAGTGGAGTTCAGGCAGAGCAGAACCAAAGTGACAAGTGTTTTCTGGAGGAAGTACACATATCTCACCCCGGCTGTGACCACACATAACAATTTTAGCCCTCTGAGCTGAAGCTGGTCTTTTCTGTCTAATTTGGCTTGACATTTACACACTGTGCTCCTTCACAAAACTTGTCCCTTCCCTGCCTCCATCCCCTCCCAGATCCTTCTCATATCTTTGCATATTTCTGCTCGTCCGAATCTTCTTTTTTTTTTTAAACACACACTCTCTCTTTCTCGGGCTGCTCTCCCTCCCTGTTTTTCATTAAAGCTGTAATTTTCCCTCTGGAGGGGAGATAGCGTAATAACTGGTCAGCTCTTTTAACCCCTTTTCCCTTCCTCTCATCTTCCCTCCTCTTACAGCCGGCTGGTGCTTCCTTTCCCCTCGTTATTTCCCTCTTTGTCACCGCATGCCTAATTACTACTCGTCTCACTGAACCAAAGCAGGTCCGCCTCTCTCACAGCTCAGGTAGTGAGTTGATGGATAAAAACGGCAGAGATTTACTCTTCGGGGTGGCATCAGTGGCCCGTAGGCCTGCTTCATGACCCGCTGCCGGCATCCAGTGTGTGTTTAATGGTCCACGGCCAGCGCGCTCTAGAATAATCTCTATTCCCTCCGCAGCCTAGGTGTGCGATAGCTGCTGGTGATTTTTTATTTTGCGTGTGAAATGAGGCACACATCCACGAGGAAACGTTTGATGGAGCACATTTCTTGTCCATCGGTGGGGAGACGACGAGACGGATGAGAGAACTTTTTCTTTCATCCGTTTTCTTCCACTTATCCGAGGGTAAAGAAACAGTCCAGATGTGACTCTCTGGAGCTTTCACTTCCTCCTGCTGGATGTGGACGGTGTTTCCAGGTCTGATGATGTATGTAATCCCTCCAGCAAGTTCCGGGGGTTCTCCAGGGTCTGCTCCTAATTGGACCTGCCCGGAAAGTCTCCAGAGGAAGTCGCCCAGGAGGCACTGCGATCAGATGACCGATCCACCTCTACCTGGCATATTTCAACGTGAAGGAGGAGCGACTCGACTCCCTCCGGATGTCCAAGCTCCTCATCTTTAAGCCCAGCCGCCCTCCAGAGGAAACTCATTTTTGGCCACTTGTATCAATGATCTCCTGCGTCTGCTCGCTACCCAGAGCTCACGACCAGAAGTGAGGATTGGAGCACAGATTGAGCGGCAAATCGAGAGCTTTGGCTTCGGGCTCAGCTCCGTCCTCCCCGCAAGAGTCCGGTACGACGTCCTCATTACTGCTGATGCTGCACCGATCCGTCTGTCCATCTCACGCTCCATTTTCCCTTCGCTTGTGAGCAAGATCCCGAGACGCTTAAACTCCTTCCCGTGGGGCCGCAACTCCCCCTGAACCCAGACGAAGGAAAACCACCGGATTCCGGGAGAAAACCTTGGCCTCAGTTTTTCTTTTTATTTACAGAATAAACTTGTTGGAATTTTGTCTATGACCTCGTGTACAATAAAGTAAACATCACATTAAGTCTGTGTAGATGTGTTTTACGAGTATCCTCACCCAGAAACAAGGGGCTCAGCTCCCAGTTTAGAGTTTACTATAAAGCCTTCTGTCACAAAAGCTCAAATGTTTGAAGCAATCAAAGAGAAAAAGGAGGAAAGCTCCAGGACAACGTGTCCATCTACACAGCACAATGTTGGGTTTTTGTGTTTAAGACTTTATAGTATGCAGATGTGCCCCAAAATGGGAGAACTTTTTGAGGCACCCTCCACAGCTTCCAAACAAGCAACGAGTATCCGGGTGAATATAAGTTCGTACCTTCATGATGCCATTCCAGTTGTCGCCCGTGGAGACTTGGAACAAGGTAAGGAAGGCCATGCCAAAGTTCTCAAAGGTTGCGTGACGACTCATACCCTCACACGGGTAGTCTTCATTACATACTGAGGTTTAACGGCGAGGAGGTGGGCGGACGGAGGGAGAGGAGGCGAGATGAGGGTCACAAACGAGAAGGTGGTGACGGGAGGAAAAGGGAACAGGAAGAGAAAAGAGGAGATTTGCCAATTTTAACAATCACCACTTTACATGACATTGTTTCCAAAAAAAAAAAAAAAAAAACTAGAGCAAGCATTCACCATTTCTGTCACTAAGCTGCCTCGTCTGAACAAGCCAACCCAGTGTAGACACAGTCTGTTAACAAATCAATAGCAATGTGAGCAAACACCCCGTTTGTTTTTGAGCTTATATCCCGAGATAATCTTTCGAATGGCCTCAAGAATGCGACACTTGCATTCGCCGCTAATCCCTTTCTCCTGCCAGGCACCGATCACAAGCAGCGTTGCCAATGGATGCAGCTGCAGCACACAAGGGGAATGTGACAGTTTGGAAGATATGTCTTCTAACTTCAATGTGGATATTTTAGGGACAGTACTTATGTACCAGAATACTGGAGAGTGGGTTGATTCCCTAATGGCTGCCTGACTGTAGGAGAAAGAACTTGCAATAAAAGATGAGGAGAAAATAAGGATTTTTATCCCCTCCCCTCCATAAACATAGTTAATACAAGTCTTAATGCTTTCATGCGCCCAAGCTGAGTTCACCATGAGAGCAACTTGAAGCCACCATTCATTTACCAACTGGGACAGACGTTGACATGTGCTGGTTTGTCCCTGACAGGATATTGGAATAATTCCTTCTCTAAAACATTTTTAACACATACTTATGCTTCTTCAAATCTCATGTTTTTAAAACATTCTTTGGTTGCTTTAAATCTTGTTGTCGCTTGATTTTTGCTTGACAGGTGGAATGCAAAGGCAAGACGTTGTTTCATGTCAGAAAAAAATAAAATAAAATAAAAAAGATTAGCATGCAACTCTTGCAAGTGCAACTCTTCCAATGTTGCAGGAAGTAGTTCAGCATTAAATATCAGGAGCTCAATAGGCAACCAGTATGACGTCCCATCTGCCCTTGAGTCTTTAGGAGACCAACAACAATGAGTTTATTTGCCCAGAAGAGGTTTTGTAACACAACCGTTGTAGCATTGTAACTGGAAGTCATATGAACTCACCAAGTTCTCCAAAAAGCTCTACTCCTAAGGCGGCGTAGATGAAAAACAGTAGCATGAAGAGCAGGCCCAGGTTACCCACCTGCAACAAACACACACATGCACTCGTGTTAAAGTCCTGAAGCAACAGAAACCTTTCTGATCATCGTTACAGTGCCTGTAAGAAGCAGCAACAGATTATGGTCAGTTTAAATAATATCTTTTTTATTTTTTTAATTAATTACAAATCTGTTTTCACTTTGACATTAAAGAGTCTTTTTTCCTATTTTTATTTCTTCCAAAAAGCCAAACTAATAATTCAATCTTTAAACGGGTCACACGCAGGATCAATTCAACATTTTCAGAATTAAAACGTCTTTCTTTCTTTGGCAGAAACCCATTCTTCTTGATTAAATATTGCCGTAGAAAGAAATCTGCACAACATGAGCGATGGGTACGCATGTAAATCACCTCACGTCTCCAACCGAGTCTTTCTTTTTTTCTTTTTTTTATCACGCTGCTCTCATTCTGTAAACCCCGGAAACAATCTCCTCCGAGGACGTGGTACAGCTGAACCCCGAACGCTTTTGTGATTTTTTGGGGGGGAGGAGGTTTGGGGACTTGGCTCGGTTCCACCACAGAACACCACAGCTTAATGGTGATGATGATGTTGCACAGTAAACACTCAGAGCAACATCTAATCCTATTACAGGGCGACAAAAGCCATTTTCCTATTCACTGTCTTTAACAGCGGTGCCGCTCCGCTGAGAACCAGAACACGCTCTGAGCACCAGCGCCGGTTGCTACACCTATAATCTATTTGTTCAAAGTGGAAGTCCAAGGAGTCCACTTCTTTATAAGAAGAACATACTCAAGATTTGCTTTTTTTACTTCAGCCTAAGAATCAACAATACGGCAACGACAGAACCAGTTCCAAAGAAATCACACATTACCCGCCATGCAAATGAAGTTTATAGATGAAATGATGCTGGTGGCAAAAGGTTCGCGAGCCGCGTTTGAAGCAGAGAAATAATAGCGAAGAAGCAGAGTTTTGATAATAATGCCGGGTTTCGAGGGAAAGCTCGCAGTCAGACAATTGTGATTCAGCGGTATTAAATGGAAACTGAATTTTTTAGACAAGGACGTTTCCAGCAAGAGGAAAAAAAAAACCCCACTGTCGAGCTGTATTTATTAAAGCCGTTTCTCTCACACTGACAGTTTAAATATTCTTGTTTCTGCAGCTTTTTTTAAACAAAATTCTCTAAAGTAATTATTAATTTGTGAGAATTGGCAGGAGCTCAACGAGAATAGCTCATTTGTAAATCTCATTATTAAAGGACAGAAATGGCCTGGTGTGATTTACCTGGTTAGTGTCTGATGATAAGCAGGCAAACACTGAATATGGGCATGCAGCTATTTATTTAAAAAGTACTTTTCACGTGGACAAATATGTCATTTTACATGCAACACAGTCTGGAGGTAATGCACTGTAGTAGTTGAACATGTGACTGGTTTGCGTTTTGCATCAAACATGTCGTTGGAGGTTCCAGGAAAAGCATGAAGGCACTTTTAGGAACAATTAGCTTTAACAGTGCTGCTGTTGTTCGGGTTTAATCGTGAATTGTATGCAGATCTTTACTCTGATAACTCACCCCCAGAAGAAAAGCCTGAGATGTGATATTTCTCTGCAAGATTTTTTTTTTGATCGTATAATTTGAGAACATGGGCGGAAACCAACATCATTTTTAAAGCTAAATACAAACCGCTCCATTTCACAGGCTCTAATGCCTCCCCAAGGGGAAAAAAAGAAGCTTCCTACGTATGCGGTGCCTACATTTGCCAAAGCAAAACTCTGGAGGTTTCGCTGCTGTTCCCAGAGCAGACATAAAACAACTGGCGCGACTTTACTGCAAACATGATATAGGCTGTTAGCGCTGGTTGCAGCCATTTTGCATCATTTGGACGGAAAGAAATTGCGGAGAACGCTTGTGGGTAAATGACTTTATTTTATGGCGTCTTTGCAAAAACAAGCAGTAAAAATGCATTTCTGTGTATGTCAGTGAGCTATAAAACCTACTCATCCGTTTAATGTAAGTATGCGGCTCCCTCATTACATCCTCATGTCCTGTCATGAACTTTTAACCAAACTAACCCACTGCACAACTTGTGAATTGATGTTTTATCTCACAAATTGTTATTCTGCCAGACATCTGTCCCACCACGCCACGGCAGCATTACCCATAGTCCTTTGCCCTCTTATAGCAATATCAAGTATTTGCCTTTGTTCTTTTGTTCGGCTCCGTCCCGAAGCCTTTGTTCAAATGCCAATACTGTCCTCAATATCCCATGTGATGTAATGAAATAACGTTGGCAGGCTGCCATTTCATTTTCACTGTGAAATATAGCGTAATATCACCTGAGGTTAAATCTCTCACCAGGTGTAATGCTTTCAATACGCACAGAGACACACACACACACCCATAAAAGTGGGAGAGACCTCCCCGGATCTGTTTAATTAGCCCGAGTTTTAATTACCTCCCCTGTTGCCCTTGGGACAGAGCAAAGGGCTCCGTGTTAATGAGAGGGGGATCAATAGAAGAGAAAGACAAGGAATCCGTTGTCTCTCACCTCTGCCTGCCCTCCGTTCGCCACCCGTTTCTTCCTACGTTTGCTTCATCTCACTTTTGGCGGCCGGCGGATCAGAACCGGCGTGCATGCTTTTGCGCCCGGAGACGTTCGCTTTTCTTAAATGAGATGTTCAAGCAGCAGATGTTTCACCTGATGCGCCAAGTGGTTTCGGCACACGGAACTATTTCAGAAGTTGTCCTTGGAAACTGTTTTAAAGAGGGCAGGCGCGCTCAAAAAAATACTTGGCAGATGAGTGGATGAACCATCTGTTTACCTCCATCTATCTCACACTTAAAATACGCCTGTAGCTGCCGAGGTTCCTCACAGGACCGGCTTTGGATAGACTGAAGCATGCAGGATGAATTCTCAGGTGAATCCAGCTGCCTCACAAGGTAAACAGACGTTAGCTTAGCTGTGCTTTTATATGGACTGAATCCACGATGTGCGATGCATGTAGAATAAAAAACAAGACATGATGTGTAGGTGAGTTTTTTAAAGTGTTAATTAGTGTTAAATTCCAAAAAAACGGTTCACGTGTAATGAGAATGTCAACTGATGCTCTGAGAAACACTTCAGCATCCAGTGATCAGAGCTTTGTGCTGATGAAGGTCATTCATAAATAAACACCCCGATGCAGCATTTTCATTTTTTCAAACTCAATGTTTTTGCAAAAAAAATCAGATGGGTCTCATTTTTCTCGGCAAATCTACAAGAGACGTTTGTCTGATTAAACAGAATTTACTGCTTTAAGGGTTCTCAGATAAACTGAGCCTTTGCTTTTGTTTGTTGCTGTGGATGCTCCAGATGTGCACAGCAAAGTGAAGAAGAGCGACACTGAAAATGAACATGTGGCTGCAAAAAGAAATGCAGCATTGATTGTACGGGAATAATTTGCCTACAAAGAGGAAGGTGTTGACCAGAAACATGTCCTTTTTCTACTTTTTGAAGCATTTCCTACGTTATGTCTTTTTGTTTTTTCTGAGCAACATCTGGCACAAGAGATTTTAACCTAAATTGGTGCAGCTACACAAAGCAACACGACTGCTTTGTTTGGACAAAACCAGATCTGGATTCCATCCAAAGCAAAACAGAATATGAAATGTCTTTGCTGGTGTTACGCTGTGAGAGAAAAATCACTGATGGGAAAACTTGTCATGTTGTGAAAGACACAATACCAAATATAGTCGAGGTAAAGATGGTTTGACAAGAAGCATGTGACACCATCACACACCTAGATTTTCTTAAATTGTTGAAACAGTTAAATATTATGCAGCTCCAGGAGACTTGTGGTCCAGTCAGACAACAGAGCTCCACACACGCTTTGTTAATAAAGACTTAAATAGTTTGCAAACAGCATTTTTTCCAGAAGATCACACAAGTCAGAGAAGCATTGGCTGCTTGTGGCCTGAATGACACTAAATCTGTACAACATGGTGCACTGTGTTAGCCACAGTCTGCATCTTGCACTTTGTACTAATTGTTTCTCATTTGCAGCTTTAGTTCTGAGCATTAACTGCACATATCGGCATTCAAATACAAAGATGACACATGCATTTGATGGATTTTTCCCCCCGCTTTACATCTGATTTATAAGATTACACTACAAAGCAAACTTCCCAACAGCAAGCAAGTTTCAGCACTCTTTAAACGAGACGGCCTAGAAACTGCCCGGACACTTCACCACTAAATGAACTGCACACTGGTTTAAGTACTGTTTCCAGCACGCTGGGGTCTCAGTGGGAGTGTCTGCGCTCTCCACGGCGCCGCAACAAGACAAAGCAGGCGCATATGTGTGTCCCAGTCCGCGGCGTGAATGAGTCATCCGTTAGAGCTGCCTACAGGCCGACGCAGAGAGACAACAGGGGCTCGTGCCACCCTGTCTGAAACTGGCCAGCTTCCTCTGGGGGAGTGTGATGTGTGTGTGTGTGTGTGGGAGGATCAAACAGGAAGTGTGTGTTTGCCGTACCTGAGGCAGGGCTTGGACGACCGTATCCAGCAGGGCTCTCATCCCCGTTGCCATCTTCAGCAGCTTCAGCACTGTGTGTGTGTGTGTGTGGACGAAAGGGAGAGACTGTAAGTGGGGAGATTTAGGGCGGGGGGCAGATCCCTCAGGTTCAATTACACTCTAAACAGGGAACATTAAACTGTGGAAAGGTCAGCTCAGAGTTGGTGTAACACTCACACACACACACACACAGAGATGTATGCGTGTGTGCACACAAAGCACGACATGTAAAAGTTTACAGCTTTAACACGCCACAAAGGGCAAATCGGCATTTCCCGCGGCGCTGAGTTTTGCAGGACGTGTGTGTTTCTCACATGTGTACCTCGAGCTATCCGCAGCACTCGCATGATCCGGATGATGGTGGGGTTGATGGGCAGAGCGGCGCTGATCTCGATCTCCTCCAGAGTGATGCCCATCACCGACAGGAGCACGATGGCCAGGTCCAACTGGTTCCACCTGGCACGCACATATAGACACACACTGGTGGGACATGGTGGCATTGCAGCGCACAAAACATCCATCCATCCATTATCTATACACCGCTTAATCCTCATTAGGGTCATGGGGGGGCTGGAGCCTATCCCAGCTGACTCAGGGTGAAGGCCTGGACAGGTCACCAGTCTATCACAGGGCTACACTTAGAGACAGACAACCAAGCACACTCACATTCACACCTACGGACAATTTAGAATCACCAATTAACCTCAACATGTTTCTGGACTGTGTGGGAGGAAGCCGGAGAACCCGGAGAGAACCCACGCTGCACGGGGAGAACATACAAACTCCATGTAGAAAGATCCCAGTGCCCCCACCGGGACACGAACTGGCGACCTTCTTGCTGCGAGGCAACAGTGCTACCAACTGCGCCACCCTGCAGCCCGCGCACAAAACAAGTCCAGCATATACAGCGTCATCACACACTAAGGTTTGATTTTGCTCTGAGGAGAGAAGAGCTGCATCGTCACTTACAACTTATCTCCCATTCACATCCCTACCAGTGATGCTGCAGAGCCTCAGCATTAATAAAGTCATCATGTGCAGCAAAAACCTCGTCAGACAAATTAATTTTAAGGCTCGAGGACAGATGGGAAACAGATGGCGCAAAGATTTCGAAGACGCCGTAGCCTTTTGCGACTAACAGTAAGTATTTCCTCCTGATGAAACCACGTCGCTTTTCAAAATCAAGCAAGCAAGCCGTCGTGTTTCCGGAACTCTCCACGACGTAGCATCTGATCCATATTGACTAAAGTGTGAGCTTTTTTTAGGGAAAACAGTGAATCAGATGCACACGGCGAGGCACCCGGCACGTTTGGCGCCGCTCGCTCATTTGTCAGAATGCTTTGCGAACTCTCTCGTTTAAAATGCCAGAGACGATAGTGCATCAGCCGCCACCTGTGACTCATTATCACCGCGCATGTGATCTGTTTTTTTCTTCCATTTGTGCTCCCTTTATGAAATTACCCTGCCCACCTGTTGGCGGGGAGGGCAAAGGAAGGATGCCACCTCGGAGCACATCTGGAAAGTGAAAACACTGGTGCTCATCAAACGGCTGAATTAATCGACTTTCAAATTCCCTTCACCGTTGGCCTCGGAACTTTCTGAACTCGCACATGTTGTTACTCTATTGACCCAGTTCTGGAGCCGGCCTGAGCGTCGCCCCGGCCCATAAATCACGCGGCGCGCAACGACTGCTCACGGCTGCTGCTGACACTACATAAAAAGAGACAAAGTGCCAGCTGATAACCGCGTGATAAATCCTCCACGTTCGCCCGTCGCTCTCTCCCTCATTTCATCCCTCGTTTGTCCTCTTTTTTGTCTTTGCTTTGCAGCTTTCCTCCCGATATATCACGTCTCTTCCTGCTTAGCTCTCACGCTAACATGCAAAATAGGTCAATGACATTAAACCGCCATCAGTGTAATAAAGGCTCCTGAATGTGGTCCCGCCTTAATTAGTCCCTCAAAAGAATAAGACATCACTGTGCACATTGCTACGAGTGACAAATCAATTAGTCTGGAATGAATGTGGGAGTGAACCAACCAGAGCTGAGGTTTTTTTTATTTTATTTTTTTTACGGAAGTCAAACAAAGGTGAGTACAGTAAGACGGAGAAACTGCCAAGACCAGCAAAATGTTTCCAATTAGACCCAATAAATTAGCCCATTAAAAACTCTCCTCAAATGAGAGCTTTGTTAATTGCAAGTGAATTAAATTTGCATGGAACACGGGGATGAGAAATCGACTTGGTGGTCACTAAAGAAGCTCGGAGAAACTTGCTGTTAATAAAAAAGGAAGTTGCATTTTTCTTTTGACAGAACTGATGATGTCTGCTAAGTGTCATGAAGCCCGGTGCAGTTTAGTCAACTTAATAACGGAGCGCCTGAGAGCCCCGCTCACACATTTCAACACGTTTCATAATCCTCGGCGCCGTCAGAGCTGTTATTCCTCATTCCATTTATAATGATCAAAGCAAAACGGCAGCTTTGTGCAGCCGTTACACTTTGAACTAAATAACTGTATATTGTGGCACTATTTATATTATATGTTAAGTCGGGAGATTAAAGCGTGTCTCTGGAGGCCTGATAGTGGCTTTAACGTGTCATTTAAAAAAAAATAAAAAATCGCATACGTGACTTAGCTGAACAGACAAAAACACAGAGTGATGTTGTAATTTCTAATGATGTTTTTCAGCAGCTAATCCAAAGGGGCAGGTTAGAAAATCCAAACGAGAAGCTGCCTGACAATCATTATGCTGCTTTATTTGAGATGTAGTTTAGTCTACATGTGGGCAGCAGATCCACGGTGGATGGAGGCTCAATCGGAAACACGCTGGTGTACAAATAAAGACATACGGTTGAAACCAGAAGTTTACGTTCACTGTATAAAAAATCACTGACATCTAATCAGACGAAACTCTTCCTGTTTCAGGTCAGTCAGGATTACCAACATTATTTATATTTGCTAAATGCCAGAATAATGAGAGAGAGAAAGTTTTATTACTTTCTTCAAAGTCAGAAGTTTACATCCACTAAGATCCTTCAAACTATTTGGGAAAGCCCAGATGATGATGTCATGGCTTTGGAAGCTTCTGATTGGTTAACTGACAACAGCTGAGTTAATTGGAGGCACACCTGTGGATGTATTTTAAGGCACACCTCAAACACGCTGCTTCCTTTTCTGACCACTGGAAAATCTAAAGAAGCCAGCCAAGATACCAGGAAGAGAACTGTGGACCTCCACCAGTCTGGTTCATCCTTGGGTACAGTCTCCAGATGCCTGAAGGTTCCACGTTCATCTGTTCAGACAGTTCTATCAAGTATGACCACCATGGGAATGTCCAGCCATCATAGGCTCAGGAAGGAGACGGTTCTGTGTCCCAGAGATGAAGTGTTCTGGTTGAAATGTGTGAATCAACCCCAGAACAGAAGCTAA